GAGGCCGCACTGGCCTCCGAAGGCGCCCTGGTGCCCTTCAGCCTGCTGCGGAGGCTGCACGCCGCGCTGCGGGAAGCAGGTAGGCCGCGCCGGCCCTGGCGCGACAGGCCGCGACCGGCCAGGCTGCCGTTAACCGTCCCGTCCCCCACCCGCAGGGTCCCCGCTGTACCTACACCAGCTCCTGGAAGGCTGCGAGATCGACCTGCCCGAGGTGCCGGTGCCGCCGCGGGTAGGTGAGGGCCGGGCATCAGCCGCGGGAGATGGCAGCGGCTCCAGGCCCTCACGGTGGCTTTGCCCTTTCCCCAGAACCCCGAGCTGGTGGCCCGGCTGGAGCGGATAAAGGCCAAGCTGGCCAACGAGGAGTACCGGCGGATGACCCGCAATATCACGGGCCAGGTGAGGAGCCTACTGGATTCATTCCTCGGAAGCGTGGCCGTTATGTTAGACAGCAAAGGCAGTCTGCCCTATAGACAGTGCAGTACAAAGGAAATGTGGGCAGGGACTTGAGGAGTGCACACTGTAAATGCACAGGGATGACAGACACCGTGTTGAAGGCAGAGGTGGGCAGGGCTATCGGGATGGTACAATAGAAGAGATACTGATGTTTGGGAACAGTTCATTGTGCCAAAGATCTCAGGTTTTGATCTGGGAGACTGAGCACTCACGGTAAATGTTTTACTGGGAGCATCTGTCCTGCTTTTTCATCGTATTTTTAAAATGAGATCATTCATGTCAAGGTAAAAGCTGAAAAAAGAGGGTAATATTGGGGCACTTGTTCTCTCCAAGGAAGAGCTGAGATCTTTAGGCACAGTGTCTGTTTGGACAAACCAGTGTTCCTCATGATCCCATTCTGCCATCGCTCCTCCACATTGGTGTCTCTGTGTTTAAGTCCCTGCACGTATTCTACAGCTGCATTAAACTTGTGGGAAGATCAGCTTTGCTCTCTGTTAAGCTTAGCTGCTTTGTCTATGACCCAGAGTGGTTTTAGCAGAGCTGGGTAGTGACAGCAGCCTTCCTTTCAAACAGAGAAGCAGAGGACTATGCCTATATCTCTGTGCTCATCCCATTCTTCCCTGCCTCCCCGCCAGTATCTTGTGTTTAAAATTGTGTAACCGCATCTGATTTGACAAAGAGCATGCAGAGCTTTACAACATTTAATTCCTGCCAGCTGCATGAACATGAACGACAAGCTGAGACCCTTTAGTGTCTTTACTGAAGACAAACCTGCAGCAGAGAACCTACAGTCAAGAACATGCGCTCATGCTCTGAGAAGTGATTTGATTAGAAGTGATCCCTTCTCAACGTTTTTGAATCAGACCACAAGCAAAAACCCAGAGAAACTGGAGTGCTGTGGAACTGCTGCTCCCCCACAGCCCACCCAACCTCTGCCAGAGCCCCCCAGCAGCTCTCTGAACTTCTGAGTCTTAGGGACAGGACAGTGCAATGGCGTTGGTTTTATTATGCAGTTAACACTAAAATATGACCGATCACAAGTTGTTTTAATCCCTTCTTTTAGGAGATGAATGGGACATTGGCTGAATTTGGGAGGCAAGGTGAGTGGCTGCCTGTCCTGGTGAGTGGCTGACACCTGACAGCATGTACCTACAGGTCAGTGGTGGGAACCATCGCATCGCTAGCTGTTGGCATCAGACAGCCTTTGCCTCTCCGAGTATCTCACCAAAAGGTTTGAATGCACAAAAGCATTCCTCAAGCAAAGGAGTAGCTTGTTGGTTTTTCTTATAGATATTTCTGGAGGTGTAAAAGATGCAAATCATCAAATATTCCTATGATAGCAGGATTATAGCTTGTCTCCAGCCCTCCTCTCCAAACCTTACCGAAAAGCACCTCATCTTTCCCCCTTCTCTCCAGTTCGCTCTGTTAAAGCCGTTGTCATCACCATAGTCAACTACGTTGTCACCGTGGTGGCTGCCTTCGCCTGCACCTACCTGGGCAGCCAGTACGTTTTTGTGGAGACGGCAGCGGTGAGTGAGCCCGTGGCCTCGGAGCACGCTTGCGGCACGCTCAGTGCTGGCCAGGCAGGAGCAGCAGCTCGACTCTTCTCTCTCTTTTTGTGTCCCCAGCGTGTCCTGTCAGCGGTAATTGTGGCCTCGGTGGTTGGCTTGGCTGAGCTGTATGTGATGGTGCGGACCCTTGAAGGGGACCTTGGGAAACTGTAATTGCACACATGAACCATGGCCCTCATCCTGGAGGCTTTTGCCCTCCCCAGGAGTCATTAATTTGGGGCAGGTTTATCTTCTACCAACTGTTTGTACCTGCTCCTGGGAAGACTGCTGCATTCCTCAGGCCTTGTCTTTTGCTTCCTGCTCCTTAATGTTTCTGAAATGAATCGTGGATTAAAAATCCTGCAGCTGCACAACAGGAGAGGGAATTTCTGTGGACTGTCCCCACCCCAGCACAGAGAGGGATGTTAGCTTCTGCTGTTCCCGTTCTCCTGTGAAGTTGCTGTTGTTTTATTCTGGAAATAAAAAACATTGGTATGTTTGCAATCTTCTTCCTGCCTGATGGGAGATGTCTGTTGCTGTATGGAACACAGACCTGCCATCTGAAAGACACCGCAGAGAGCTGTGAATCTTCCCTCCACATCCTGCTCCTGCCGAAACCTCCCTTTGCCTGTGTGAGAGACGACTTGTAACTCCCTGAAACAGGCCCTGAGAGGAACAGGCCTGTGAGAGATCAGGGATGGGGGGGAGCGGGGGCTCTGCGAGCTGAGGAACATCTCCAAGACTCGCGAGTAACAAATCGATGGTCACGGGGCGATCGTGTGGCGTTTGGCGCTGATCAGCTGCCTGGACAGCACAGGAGGGGCTGCAGGGGGGAGCCCTGTGGGGAGCAGGATGGTTCTGCTCTGGGGCAGCTTGTTCTGGTGAATGATCTTTGCTTTGTTATCCGTGAAATGCATATTAAAGTTGACACCCTGCATATGCTAATGAAGATTAACAAGGTCATGCTAATTACATCATCCCGTGAAGCATCTTACCATCCACGGGATACGTAGGTATGTGGGTCGACCCAGGGGATGGACCCAAGGAGAGTGTGTATAAATTGAGGGGGGGGCGAGGAGTGAAAGGCAGACAAAGAAAGAAAGAAAGAAAGAAAGAAAGAAAGTGAAGAAGACAGATGAACTCAGGGAAGAACCCCGATGAACTCAGACAAGACCAACACAGGAACCTGGACTGGTGATCCCTATTTCTCTAATCTCTCTCTCTTCTTTTTTTTCCCCTTTTTCCTTATTAACTTTAGGTAACTGAGGCATACTACATCGCTCACCATAACTTACATACTTAGCCAATTATCATGTATCCATTGTGGGATTAGTACATTGTGGGAAGTTAATAAATGTCCATGTCTGGACTTTGAGACTTGTCTCACCGCTGTCCACTCCGTTGGGGATTTACAAACCTAAGTCCTTGTCTCCCTCACCTGAGCAGATGTGACAGCCTGCCCTCGCTGCTCCCACAACCTGCCCTCGCTGCTCCCACAACCTGCCCTCGCTGCTCCCACAACCTGCTTTCGGGAGAGCGTTTTTCCCTTGTGACCCACGTGGCAGCACCCAACCCAGCTTGTGTTTAGGGGTGAGCCCTTTCCCCCTCCAGTTGAGGAAGGTGATGGCGTCAGGCACAGCCACACTGGGGTTGGCACCCACCTCAGCTCAGCTCTGTGTAGCTCAGACCACGTCCTGACCAGCCGACCTGCGGCTGTCGGTGAGGGGCACAAGCCGTGCCTGCCTGCCTGTTGCCACGGGGTGCAGTAGGGCCCCCGCAGGCAGATGGGGCAGCGAGGGGTCCAAACGGTGTCCCCAGCTTCTGTGGGTTGGGGGGGGACGTGCCTCAACACACAACCTGGAGGCTTCTTGGGTGCCACGGAGCAGAGAGTGGAGCCAGCTCGGTGCACTCATGGTGGGGAGGGGGCTCTGAGGCTGGCACGGCCGGGCCCTGTGGACCCGGAGACCTGCCGGGTGGGCAACCTGCCAGGGCCGGACACGGTGATTAATGCTCTGATGGCAGCTAAGCCCCTCTGCAAACACGCTTTAATATCTGATACGGAGAGATCTGCTGGCACCTGCGAACGTGCCTGCGGATTAGGGGCGGCCACGCCACAATCATCTGCAGATACGGCCTCAGATTAAGGTATTTTTTCCAAAAGATTAGTTGGTATTAGGGGGCTGATGGGGAGCTGGCCCCGCCACGGCCGCACCGGCATTTAGGATATTGGATGACATCGCCAGGACCTTTGGAACACACGGTAATTCCACACCCTAATGAAATCGTGGCGCTAAGCCGGAGGGCATCAGTGCTGGGGGGGGGGGGGC